GACGATAAATGTATTTATGTTTTGTTACACTGGTGAGCAGCTTACCACCCAGGTATGTTTGTTCGTGTCGGAATGTTAAATTCTAATAGCAAACGCCACCTACATTGGATGACAGACATTAGTCGATCGTCTGTAAACATAATTGTTTTATTCATTATAAATAACAAAGCAGTAATTTCTGCTTTGGTAAAGTGGAGTTGAATGAGAGACGATGTTTATTAACTATTGAAAAAGTCATTGTTGAGATATTAATTTATTAAGTTGTACAATTTTATTCTATACGTGTTAGATATAAATATTAGCGGAAAAGGTAGCTAGTACATCGTGCGAGCTCGAGTGGTATCGTCTTCCGGACAAAAGAGCACGCGGCATCGTGTTGGTAATGATCATGTCTAATTTGCCCACCAAGCTCACTGCAGGAAAAGTCATGGACCTCTCCATCAAAACATTTGGTGATGTTAGATAATATTTTCAAAGAGATCTACTTATATGTCCAGTAAATTACAGTGTTCTTACATTTCAAAGAGGATAACAATATATCTCAATATTATTAAATTTATAAATAATATTGGAAAATTTTAGTAAGTTTGATTTAAGTAGTTCATAACTTGTTTGAGTAGTTCATAACTTGTTTGAATGTTTTGTATACAGTATTATCTACATGTTTTATATTTATCATTCATTATTAGTTTATTATTAATTTCTTGTTTGTGGCAAACATGTTCTCGGAATTTTAAGAGAGAATTATTATATATTTTAGCATCATATTGTGTTTTAGGTGGTTAAAACGTCTATGACATATTTTAATATGCTTCGAAACGTAGCCGGTTGAATATTTGTGCTCTACTGATCCAGATCATGATACAAACTATACAAATTGCAATGATGATATCATATCGTGTATATTAATGTTATGAATGTGTCAAATGCAACGGTTGGTGCAATGTACAGACAGAATATGTACTTCGAATTTAAATACATTTCTTTTGTGAAAACATACATACGCAGGATTTTTTATTTCGCGGTAAATTTGAAACACGTAACATCGAAATATTAATTATTTTAACTTTTCTTATCTTTAATAGTGAAAAAGAAATTGTTGCACACACATTGTTATTGATGATTTTACATTATGAAGATCTCTTACCTTATTATCGCTATCGACCATTACAAAGAGTAAATGTTATCTATTTCAAATGAAAAATTATAATAATCACGTTAACATAGAAAAAAATATTTCTGTTCATTCATTCAAGATATACGATAATCTACTATTACTGCAGATTTGCTGCAGGTCAAAGATTGTACCTTATTCACTATTATCATCGGTAATCTTTCTTTACAAAATGTCAAGTTCTAATTTTCTAAATTGGCTGGATAACTTTTTCCCCGGGCAACAAAAAAACACCAGACTAAGTTTATCATCTAAGTAACATTTGTTCGAACATAGAAGCGTTTATTCAGATTTGCTATGTTCCACGAAGAAAC